ACGGACCGACCCATCAATGTAACTATCAATAACGTCATGCTATAGAACACATCACTATATAAATACAAGCTCCAAGTTGTAGTAAAATACGAATTCTAATTCGTAGCCAATTTAACCTCTATCAAATTTCTGCAAAAAAAAAAAAAAACAGAACAGTAAAAAAAAAAAAAAAAAACAGAAAAAAGCAGCAACAAGATCCAACATGAGCAAGAATGTCAAACCAGACAAGACAGAGGCATGTCCAGCAGGCGACACATCTGGTAAAACTGATTTTTCCAAAATCGACATTAATACAAAGGTGTACATTGACACAGCATACCAAGCATCATCAAACACAATAATTGCAGCAATAAAGTTGTACATTGATCAAAACAATAAGACACACAAGGATATGATTGCCAAACTAAACGAACGTTTAGACTTATGTTTCAACCAAATTTAGCAGACTAATTGTCAAGACACTACTAGCTTGCAGCATTATAACAGCTCTAGTTCACAAGAAAAACTCTCTACTCCACAACACAATCATGAGTTCAACGTGCCACAGACCCAACATGAAAAACACAGCAGTAACAACACTAGAAACCAGCAAGGTAATTGCCCTCTAACACCTTTTCTTAACAACTTAATAATTAGCCCAACGGTTCGCAAAGTACAACATACAAACCAGCCTGTGACAGCTCTCCCACTATCCCTCTACTGAATGGAACACTCAAAATAAAAATGACCACATGAAAGTACCTTTCTATCGATTACAGCTGCACTGAACTACCTCCAGTACATAGTTTCAACAACTCTCAAGCTATCAGCACAGAACGTATTCATCTCTGGTGGGTTCTCAACTAGGCCGAAGGTCAAAAATCTATTGAAATGCTTTCAACTAAACCAAATCTGCCAACTCACTTGTGGAAGACTATAGCAGTTGGCAACTACGTCGACTTATATGAGTTTGCCTATACAAACTTAAAAACTAGTCTTAAAAACAATGAAGACGAACAAACACTGCAAACATCCGAAAGAGGCATCATTGCCATTCGTAAACGAAACCGTACTCAAAAATTCAATGACATATCCGAATAGCTTTTGGCATTTAGAATATACATGGAGGCAGTTTTAATAATCTATGATATCAGAAAACAAGAACTTAATGCTTATCGTGATCACATCAATATGCTATGCATCAGACAAGAGTTCTCAGCAGTCATCACATATGATGAAGACCGAAGATTAGATATGACTACAAACCGAGACTTTACCCTACTTGAATGGAACATTGAAGCTGAAGGCGATAATTTCGATGTCACAACAACAAAAAGATATCGCACTAGTATTACACCAATAGCTCTCAGATCTGACATCACCTGGCATGATAGCAGGCAAATCTGCATTAATTGGAATCATAGAGGATGCACTGAAGATAACAACTGCAAACGGGTTCATGCCTATATGACATGCAGAAAAACCAACTACCCATCACGAAGATATTTTCTCAACAAACCTGCATCACCCAGACAATCAAACAGCCAAAACCCAAACCAAAA